TTCACTGCTGGGCCTCGAAGCCCGGTGGCTGCTGACCGCATCAGGGCCCCATTCCTCGAGAATCGAACGTCGTTGATCTAGTCGAACTGCCAAACGGTTAATTGCTTCCTACAAGTAGCTCGTTGTGTGGCTATCACTATTGTGTGCAGAATCGCTCTTGCTTTTCCTTCGTGTTGCCATGTGCATGTTCGGAAAACGGCGACAACATGCTTACCAAGCCTATGCGAAGAGAACTTTTGCAGGCTTCGGCAGGGCGTTCTGGACGTCGCTGCTCCTCTTCGTTGCTGCGCACTGCACCAAGAATGCCACATGCCAAGACATTTTCGTGTGTGAAAAGCATCGGCCCCATGCTTGGGTCGCAAACCCCAAAAAACCCAATCCGAACCCTGGAACCTCAAAGATACAAGACAACCGGCAGTCCCTAACAGCAAATGCCCAACCGCTGGCAAAATGGGATGCCCATCCCCACCCCAACAACCCTAAACCCTAAACCCTAAACCCGAAATACCAAGCCCCCAACCCAAGCTCAGTGCCCTTTCTTCCAAGGCTCGGAGCCAACGATCGACCGAGAAGGTCCCAAGCGCGCCTGAAACTGCTGTGAGTAAATAGGGGTTTATAGGGGGTCCTTTAAAGGGCTCCTTAAAGGGTTCTATAAGGGCTACTATAAGTTTAGGGTTTGGGGGCCTTGAGAAGTAGAATATGGTTCTGGGGGATGTTATATTATAATTAGAATAAGGAGCCACCAAAATNNAGGAAATTATTTAGGCCCCCATATTAAAGGAACAGGAAGAAGAATGAACAAGTATCAAATTCTAGTCCCTACTACTCGTGCTAGTACAAGCACCAGCACTAGTACTAGTAGAACCAACTGCACTGTAGAGTACTCGTGCTAGTCCTTGCCCTAGCCATAATCCTTGTCCTTCCCCTCCTACTAAGGAGCAGGCAAGTCAACTAGAATATCGGCAAAGTAACAGTGTGCAAGCGGCTCTTGACTGATTGAAAGTCTATGGACAGTCTGTTGCTTCAAAGTTTCGGTCCCGTTGAAAATCGATTACCAGTCTTCGAAGCTTCAGAACCTGTAAGATCCAGAACGGACTATTTCCGCACAACACGCCATATGTCACTCTCCCTGTATGTGAAACACAAACTGATCTACGGACAGTCTGTGAGCCATGCAGTCCAAAATATCTTGAAGCCTCTATTTTGAAGTTGACTGATGACTGAAGAACTGCACAGGACCTTGGACTGCAAGACTGCGACTGCGACTGCTACTACTA